AACCGCCTGTGCTGGGACGTGCAGCCGGGAGCAGCCACAGTAAATCAGCAACCAGCACCCATGGTGGAGCTGAGAGCTGGGGGACCCTCTTCTCCTCCCACAGAGCCATCCATGGGGCAAAAACCCACACATCTGTGCTCCCAGACAGCTCAAGGTACGCTGGGGAGCACCCAGCATGTGACCAAGCACCAGCGAGGAGATGACCCCAGACCCGAGTTCCAGCTTCTCCAGCACAAAGGGCTGTTCCCACCCAGGGCACGAGTGGTGTTTCCCTCTGCAAGGTGTGTTGATGGGAAGAGGATGGGAATTACCAGCAGCCTGGCCCTTTCAGATCCTGCTCTTTCCTCTCTTGGTTGCAATGTGTCCCCTGCTCAGCTCTGCCAGGGCCAGCCCTGCACTTTAAGGTGCCAGCAGTGGTACCTGTGCCCACTGGCCGGCAGGACAGAGCAGGAATAGCAGAGTCAGCTGACACTGCAGAGAACAGGACACTCATCACACCACCACCAGGGTGGTCCCAGCTGAGGTTGGCTCTGCCAGCCCTTCTCCTGGCACCTGTGGCCACTGAGGTGCCACACACCCTAGGACTCTGCCCCACCTGGCAGAGCCACTGCACCCTGGGGTGATGGGGGATGCTGCATCTCCAGGGGTGGCTTCATCCATAGCCCTGGCAGCCAAATCTCAGAGAAAAACAGTGTCACCCCAGCTGAGTGTGGGAAGCAGCAAGAGAGAGCCAGCTCATGGAGCTCATGGAGCAGGGGACCAGCCCCACCTACAGCACGGATCCAGCCGTGCCTCTCCACCGCCCTGGGACAGCCCAGCTCCCAGCCAGAGAGAACTGAATCCCAGCAGGAAAACTGTCCAGGCAGGACCCGGCTGGGGCATCACCAGGAAAATCACTGCCTGGCCAGTTCTCAGCAGAGCAGCTTCCCCATCCTGCTCCTCCATCCCTGAAAAAGCAACTCAAACCCGACCCTCCAAAACCAGAGCATCTTCTGGAAGCTGCCGGCCCAGCCCAGCCACCCAGAGGGAAGAAGGTAGCCAAGCCCCAGCCCAGTGGGGCTGCACCAAGCAGCCCCAGCTTCTTGCCGGGCAGAGCAGGCCCATTTTGGGAGGCCATGGAGAGAGTGGCAGCGTGGGCATGGTGCTCAGGTGTGGTGATTTCCACATGGAGCCATGCTACGGCTACGTTTCTCTGCTGCATGGCTCAGCCAGGGTTCCCCAGTGCTGCCAGAGCAGGGAGGGATCTGTCCCTAGCGATGTCAGCGTGCAGAGAAGAGAGGAGGGATGCTCAGAAACACAGCAGAGAGGAGGGATGCTCAGAGGCAACCACCTGCCAGAGCAACCCCAGAGCCATCACCTGGGTTGGAGCATCATTTGGCTCCCTGGGTACCAGCACCTCCACCTCCCCATGGAAGAGCGACAGACTCCTCACCCTGACGTGCAGCTCCAGCATGAGGAGCCCACGTATGCACATAGACACAAACCAACTAAATTTCACCCCCACCCTACGCAAAACAAGGCAGCCCTTACACCAAGAGCTTCACACTTCACTCCCCGTGCACAGAGAGCCCCCCTGCCCCCCCCACCA